CTCCAGCTGTTCTGCCCCCTGCTTCCCGGATTCAGCGCTGGTCAGTTTTAGCAGTGGCTGAATCAGGGAAGCTGGGGGCAGAGCAGCTCCAATGAGCCGGCTGCCCGGAGCACTTCCGGGTTCCTGATGGTGCCTGACCATCAGGAGTGCCGGACCGTCAGATGCCGGACCATCAGACTTTTACTGTACTTTCATGTTTATTGTACAAGTCTCTCTGTTTTGATAATTTGTCATTAAATCGGCTTCTGTTTAAGGGAAATCTGAATTAGCTCTGAAATACTGCTAAATGGGAGCCATCACTGATGGACAATTTAGAAAGAAGCTGAAGTCTTATAACATGCACATAACTTGTATAGGATTAGAGAAGGCCAAATCTTGTTTGTATCTTTTAAATAGAGGACTGAGAGAATTGTAGACCAACCAGCCTAACCACTACCCAGAAAGAGACTGAAACAAATTATTAAACAATAATTTTTGTGATAATCTAGAGGATAATAGGATTATAAGGAATAGGCACCATAGGTTTGTTAAGAGCAAATTATGCCAAACCAACCAACTTTCCTTCTCTGATACTTACTAGTCTAGTGGCTGGGGAGCAAGCAATAAATGTGATATCTTGATAATTTTTTTAGTAAGCTTTTGACACAATCCACATGACATTCTCATAAGATAGATAAATGATAGAAATGTAGCCGTGTTAGTCTGGAGTAGCTGAAACAAAATACAGGACTATGTAGCACTTTAAAGACTAACAAGATGGTTTATTAGATGATGAGCTTTCGTGGGCCAGACCCACTTCCTCAGATCAAATAGTGGAAGAAAATAGTCACAACCATATATACCAAAGGATACAATTTAAAAAAATGAACACATATGAAAAGGACAAATCACATTTCAGAACAGAAGAGGGATGTGTGGGGGGGGGATGGAAGGTGAATGCCAGTGAGTTAATGATATTAGAGGTGGGGAAGGGGAGATGTCTGTGAGTTAATAGTATTAGAGGTGATAATTGGGGAAGCTATCTTTGTAATGGCTAAGATAGTTGGAGTCTTTGTTAAGTCCCCTGCGGAGAGTGTCGAATTTTAGCATGAATGCCAGTTCAGAGGATTCCCTTTCAAGTGCAGATTTGAATGTCTTCTGAAGTAGGATGCAGGTTAGCAGGTCATTGAGACAGTGTCCTTTCTGGTTGAAATGACAAGCAACTGTTTTTTCTTTGTGATCCTGTCTAATGTCTGTTTTGTGGGCATTGATTCTTTGGCAAAGTGTCTGAGACGTTTCTCCAATGTACATAGCAGACGGACACTTTCGGCACATGATAGCATAGATTATAGATAAATGTAATTTACATTAAATTCCTATAAAGTAAAAGACTGTTTGTGCAGAGTTACTTGTTGGTGAATTCTACATCATTGCACATGTGCAGAATTCATGTCCCCTGCAGATTTCTTTGCTTCATTACAGAAAAATAACTTCTGATGGGGAAGTAAAGGGAAGCCATGAGGCTGGTCACAAGTCCCTCCCCAGCAGGGCTGGCAAGTCAGTTTGGGCACCCAGAACAGCTCATAAAGATGTAAAATCACTGATGAGCTGTGGGGGCTGGGTGGTCATGCATGTGTGTGAGAGAGAGAGAGACTCTGTGCTTGCAGCATGGTTGGCATAGCAGTGGTCCCCAACCTTTTGGGGCTGCCGGGCACCCAGGGATGGGGCCACGCATGCGCCGGGCGCCCGGGGGTGGGGCCACGCATGCGCCGGGCGCCCGGGGGTGGGGAGTGCACGTAAATGTCCAGGCAGGCACCATGGCGCCCACGGGCACCGCATTGGGGTCCACTGGCATAGAGGGTCAGCGCTTTGGGGTGTTTCCGAGGAGGTAAGTGTGAGGCATGCTTTGTCCCCTCAGGCAGAGCAGAATATAGCAGCCTGCCAGCTTAGTGAATTGTTCCTATTGTTTTTAATGAATTCCCCTAGGAGTATAAACGTAAATGTCCAGGCAGGCACCATGGCGCCCACGGGCACCGCATTGGGGTCCACTGGCATAGAGGGTCAGCGCTTTGGGGTGTTTCCGAGGAGGTAAGTGTGAGGCATGCTTTGTCCCCTCAGGCAGAGCAGAATATAGCAGCCTGCCAGCTTAGTGAATTGTTCCTATTGTTTTTAATGAATTCCCCTAGGAGTATAAACCAGATATATAAATTATTAAAGCACAATATGGCCTAATAAATGCTTATAATAAGTTAGTGATTAAAACTAAAATTTTGCACTAAAAAAATTCCTATAAAAATGGCAATGAATTTTTTGCTATTGATCTTTCTAAAGATGGTCAAAAGTAAAGATAAATTGCGAATTTGAGTCCCTAGCCCTCACTTGCTCGTCGGTTGCCTATGATGTAACACTGAGTGTATGGATATTTATATTTGACTAGTAACTAGAAGTAAAGGATCAATACTATTTACATTGCTATTAGAGAGGGTTGGGGATTTCCTCCAATGCTCCCCAATCCCATTCTCCATACTATCGTTTCAATAAAATTAACAAAATAATTGAAACCAGTATCATTGTGTTGTTTTAAGAAATAAAATATGTAGCAAGCCCTGCATGGATACAAATGTCAACTCATGGAGACGGATATGTGTGGATAGACATCAGTGTCTGCTGATCTGCAGGGCTTTACTCCCAAGAATCATTGTGGCCTATGGAGAGGAGCATAGTAACATTGCTCCTGAGAGCCCCCAGTCTGTGCTGGCAGCTCCTCCTGGCAGGATTTTTGCAGAATTAAGAGTAGTTTCCAGTTTGACAGCAAACATTGAAAGGTCACATCTAGTGGGGTCAGTCCTGGATCTAGTACTGTTAAAATATTTTAATTAATGACTTAGGAAATGGAGTGGTGAGAATTCTTAAATTTATTAATAATATCAAAGTGGGAGAAATTGCAAGCACTTTGGAAGACAAGTTTAGAATTCAAATGACCTTAACAAATTGGAGAATTGGTGTGAAATGAACAAGAGAAAACTCAAAGAAGACAAATGCAAATGAATTCACTTAGGAAGGAAAGATCAAAGACACAGCTACAGAATGGGGAATAACTGGTTAGCTGGTACTGTTGAAAAGGATCTGTACAGTAGACCACAAACTGAACATGAGTAAACAATGTGATGCAGTTTGAAAAAAGGTTGTTGTTATTCTGGTGTACATTAACCAAAGGGATTCATGCAAGATATGGAAGGTAATTGTCCTGCTCTACACCCACTAGTGGAGGTCTCAGCTGAAGTACTGTATCCATTTCTGAGCAGCACACTTTAGAAAAGATATAGACAAATTAGGGAGAGTCCTGAAGAGAGCAACACATATTACTAAAAATTTAGAAAATCTGACTTGTGAAGAGAGGCTGAAACAATGGGAAGAGAACATATTTCAAGACATACTATTAGTCTTAAGAGCTGTTATAAAGAGAACAATGGCCAATTATTCTATGTCTGCTGACAATAGGACAAGAACTAATGGACTTTATCTGTAGCATGGGGGATTTAGGTTAGATAAAAAACAAGCTGAACAAATACCTTTTATGGGAGGTCTTGGTCTACTTCGTGCAGGGGCTGGACTTTAATTTTTGAGGTTCCTCCTAGCCCTGCATTTCTATTCCCAAGTATATGTAAACATTGTCACCTTTCAAATCCAGTCCAAGATGATCATCTTTGAGCGTAACTTGGAAGATCCTACCATAAAATCACTGTTCATTTAAATGATATCCCTCTTCTAGTATTTTCATTTGTCTACATTTTTAAGACTGGTCTTTTGTTAGTAAGTTATCAAGCTATACTTTCCAGACCAGTTGCAAATAAAAAAGATTTTGTCCACCCTCTAAACACAAGTTTTTTGGATTATTATTAATTTTTAAGACTATATAGGCTTACATCATGCAGTGAATGATCTATCCAGATCTTGATGTGATAGATGCCTGAGCTCATTTCTTCCATTTTTTTGTTGTATTTTTTATTAATTTTAATTTTCTAGAGTTCTACCTTCTACTGGAGGAGTTAGTTATTGTGAAGGTACCTCTGGCTCTTAACTGGTTCTTAACTGGTTAGGAATGAAAAGAAATGAGTTCTGACATGCTATGCTTTGTTTTTTAGGTTCAAGATGCTGGACAGGATATGGTGGCTTCCTATGCCACACCAGGAACTGGTAAATCGAAGGTAAACTTTCTTTATAAATCTGTTAAATGGGTTTTACTCACAAAAGCTCATGATCCTATATATTTGTGCCACAGGACTAAGCATCTTTACAGTTGCAGACTAACATGGCTACACCTGTGAAACTTTATTTACAAATATAAGTCATTGGGACAGATTTATAATCTGCTGCACTAGCTGCTACTGAGGGAATATTTAAGAGAAATTAATTTTTAGAAGGGAAACACTGACTCCTCTGTTTATTAAATTATTAAACACAATTTAATAGGGCTCTAAGTTTAACTTTGGAGAATGCTGAAGAAAGAATGTGTTAATTCTGGCAGTTACTATTGGAAGCAAATGTACTAACACTTTAGAAAACATTTGGCAGGATCCAATTCAAACAATGGACTTTTCAGGGTATAAATTTCTTCATTTAAATTTACGGGCCACTTGTACCATTGTGTCAAGTCAGCATGCCAGGTTAAAAGCATTCAGCAATTTAAATTGTTCTCAAATACGTCCTTAGTTTGAGTCTTAACCCATCTCTGTATGCTAACCCTTCACAACTGAATCTTACTTTCACATTGATATTGCCTCATTACTCCATAGGGCTCAAACTTGTAAGAATTAATATAGAATTAGTAGATGTACTGTACATGCACATTGTGTTTACAGACATATGGTTAAATATGTTTCATACCCTGAATTTTAACATCTTGAAAGTCAGACAATTAAAATTTCTTGTTTTCAATTTTAAAGGCATTGGGAAAGCATGTTTTGTAAACTGTCACATTTTACAGCTGGATACGCTGCCCAAAGAAGATCTCATCAAATTTGCAAAGAAGCAAATGGTGCTTATACAGAAAGTGAAGTCAAGATGCACAGGTACCATAGATAAAGGGGATTTATTTGGCTGTCCAAGATTTTTTTTAATAAATGAGATCAGTATCGACAAAGTAATTTTCTATGCTACTGTATTTGACCACTGCATTTGATTCCCCGGTGAAAAACTTACATTTTCCAGGAACTCATTTTGTTCCATTTTTCCTGCCTTTTTGAGAAGATTAGAGTAGAAAGTCCAAAGTGGAGGAGACATTGCAATGATCTCCCAATAAATCTTACTAACCAAGCAAGAAGGAGCGTGATGGGAGAAAACTTGCTTAAAAGAATAATTGAACTGCATCTTGATGTGGGGCCTTTCATGGAGTGTCTGCTCCCCATATTTGCTAGAATGTTTGCTTTTTTTGTCATAGTATACAGGAGGCCCCAGACTTGCACCACGATTGGTTCTGGAGGAAGCATTGCAAGTCGGGAGGCGTCGTAACTCAAACCCGCATTTACGGTAGGCGCTGTGCGCCATTGTGAATGGGGACTGAGGACATAAATCAGGGGTTTCCAGCCCCTTCCGCACTTACAAAAATGGTTGTAAGTGCGAGGGGTCGCAACTCGGGCGGTTGCATCTCGGGGGCCTCCTGTATAGTAACATGTTTTGATGTTGGTGGAGGGAGGTGGAAACTCCAAGCCAAATAATATGATTTTACATATGTAAAATTATATAATGCAACCATGTTATGGCGTTGTTGTTTGTGTGTGTGTGTGTGTGGTATATTATAATATTATTCACACACACACACAGGGGTCGCAACTCGGGCGGTTGCATCTCGGGGGCCTCCTGTATAGTAACATGTTTTGATGTTGGTGGAGGGAGGTGGAAACTCCAAGCCAAATAATATGATTTTACATATGTAAAATTATATAATGCAACCATGTTATGGCGTTGTTGTTTGTGTGTGTGTGTGTGTGGTATATTATAATATTATTCACACACACACACATGCAGAATTATCTGTCGTTGCGCACCCTTCCCCCCCCCCCCCCCCCAATGCTGTGGCCAAGGGTTGGGGGGGGGAGGCGTGTTTGGGAACTAATTACCTCTGTGCTGACAGGCAAGATGATGGAGCCCCAGCGCTGCTGACTACTTCCTTGGTGATATGGCTTCCCTCTGGCGGATGCTACTGGATAGCTCTTTTCTGTGCTCGCTGCCCCCCAGGGGCCATTCTTATACTATGTCCCTCAGAACCCTCCCTTTACATGTTATGGCAAACTTTCCCAAATCCTGACCTTGCTATAAGGTAGGAAAAGAGGAAGCTGCATACCAAACTTGGTGGCCCTACCTGTTACTGTATGCAGGGGCAGATGACAGTTTTGCGGGGCGCCGGGCAGCGTAATTCCGCGGGGCCCTCCCTTTGCCACGGCGCATGCGCAGCGATGCCACCGCACATGCACGGGGCTTTCTGAAGCGCGGGGCCCGGGGCGGCCGCCCCGTTCGCCCTGCCCTATATCCACCCCTGACTGTATAGGAGGAGTTCTTGAACAAACGGATGTGCAGACAGACACACTCTAAAACAGGTAGACATATTTTAGAATCTGTCTGAGAAAGGGACAGATTTCCATTACATGCAAAGGGAAGGGCTGCTATGAGGATGCGATATGAGAATGCCCACAGAGGGCAGTGAGCCAGCAGGAGAGAGCTGTACTACAGAGGGATGATTGGGAGCAGCTGTACCACCACGGGAGTGGCCAGCAGGTCTGGAGCTCTGCCATCCTGCCTGCCAGAACACCAGTAAGTAGCCCACCTACCCGAAACCCTTTTCTACCCCTCCCCTTCCCCCCACTCCTGGCCACAGTGCCAGAGGGAGGGGAGAGAACAGGCCCCAGGCAGGTTGAGGCAGCAGGCGGGGGAGAGGGCCTTTCTGGGAAAACATGCCCTTGGCCCACTGCCTTCTGCACCCTCTCCAGCTCCCCAAGGCCCTGCACTGAAGGGCCCAGGCAAAGCCTGATAAGTCTGCTAGTTTTAAATAACTTAGCAATCGTATAATTACTCATTGTTGCTTCTTTGAAAATAAATAGTAAAAGATGGCCAAGATAATTTTGAGTTAATTTAGAGTAGGAAAGATTGTCTGATTTAGAAAAGAGCTTGAAGATGACACTGTGATGGTGTGCACATACCTCTCGTGATCGCCCCCTGGTTGAGGATGTGTGGGCCTGCACTTTCTCTCCCTGTAGCCTTCCTTGGGTTTAGGTTCTTAATTAGTCTACTAGTCTATCAGTGGTCTCAGCCCTGGTATCGAGTTGTACTTCAGATCTTCCACTGAAGGCAATGTCTTCACCCTCTCTGGACGTTTCAGGCCCCAGGTCTCCTGTTGGCCACTAAAGTATTCAGTTCCCTTTCAGTGTGTCAAAGCCCAAGCCACTTACTAGAGCTTAATGGATATAGGAGGGCCCAAACCACCACTGCTCCAGATCCCAGCACAGCGATTCTGTAGATAGCAGTCATCTGCCATGTCACTTTATCTAAGCTGTGTCTTCATCCTTACATAAAGACCTTGTCCTGATGAAGTCCCAGCAACCAACCCAGAGCTCCTTCTTATTCCCCCTCTTCCATATTTGCCAGCTCTGCTCCTTCCAAGTTTCTGTAGCTCCCTCAGCCAGCCACATTCCTCCAGTCTTCATGCTGGCCATGCAGCGATTTTTATACTAGTCTGTTGGGCTCTGATAGGGACACTCTGGTTGGCTGTGTCCCACACAGCCATTCTAGAAAGCTTGGCTGACCTTATCCACTGTTCTTTTCTGGAGCCTCAGAGACTCTGGTATACCCCATCACAGGTTGAGATAGCACTAAATATTGTTTTGCTCTGAGTGCTTCACAGCTTTTAACCCATTTATTTGAGGCCAACACTACATTTTTATATTCCAAGTGTCAGCCTAGTGTAAGTTCTGATGAGTGTGACTTTTGAATACTAATATTTCAGGAAATTCTTAACGTAAGCTGAGTTGGCGTTTTCAAACTTTTAAATCTGATGTCATTACTATACTATTGCAATATATTTATTATATTTATAATCTCATAAAGTGACACGTTCTCTTCTAAGTTAGAAGCTGCTCTATGAAATGTCTAACTGATTACGGAGAACTTATTTTTTTTATTCTAGAATTGGAAAAAGAGATTAATGAACTCAAATCAAAACCAGGCACTGGAGGAGCTGATGATATTGTTCAGGTAGGCATGTATAATTGTTTTTGAAGTACTATACATAATACATTGCCATGTGAATCTCTCTAGTGGTGGTGTTTACTGAATAGCAAACTGTTTTACTCAGACTATCTGGTGCATCTAGACAGCGGTGCTATTTTGGGATACTTCTGGTAGCCTGAAATAGCGTTTTCCGTGTCTTGACAGCTCACTCGTCTTTTCGAAATATCTTTCAAAATAACTGGTGCACTATTCCAGTGTCCCTGTAAACCTTGTTCCATGAACATTAAGGGCCATTTCGGAATAGTGCTCTATTTTGAAATTTGGCACTGTGTAGACAGCTCCAAATTTCTAAATAAGCTATTTCAAGGTAAAAATGCAGTATAGATGCACCCTCTGGGACCAGTCCTCATCAATGAAAGCACTTTCTTTCTTCCATGTATCTTTAGGATCATATATGGAAATATTTAATTTTTGTGTCAATTTTATTAAAAATTACTAGTAAAATACCAATCCTCTTTTCTTAATTTTTTTTTTTATAGGAGCGTAGTTCAGCTCATGATGATGAACATTTGCACTGCTGCTATAAAGAAATGATGTAGCAGCCTTACTCGGTCCAACCATTAAAATTACTTTTTATTTTATGAATTTATCACAATAAATGCTCTTTTCAAATATTTTTAGATTTTAACTGGCACGTAGATGCATCATCTACTAAAATCAGTCTTGCTGAAAGTGAAGTAACTTAAGTAGTTACTCAGATGAAAGTTAGTGTTAGCACATATAAACTCTTGAAACAAGATTTGGATTGTTTAAAAATAGTTTGATGTTTAAAACAATTATTTACACACAGTTTTTTCCTCTGAAGATATAAATAATAGGTAGGAAACCAGATTTCTAGTACAGCAAATTCATTCCGCTCAATGGTTAACTGTGAGAGGTGTTTTGTTAGCAATATAGCTGTCACTATTCTCTGTCTTCTCTCTGTGGACTGAAGGTAATTCTTGTAATGAGATTGGTTTTTTTTTAATTGAATAGTAAGCAAAACATATCAAGGCCAGTGTCTGAACTCTGTAGCAATGCCTCGCAAAGGTTGCTGAGAATTTTGCATTTTCACTTTTTTCCAATAGTCTTCTTGCTCTTTCCTAATTAGGTTCTCACAGAGAGGTTGGATGTTGTTCTTCTGGAAAAAGCAGAGATCCAGCAACAGTGCATAGCACTCAAAAAAGAAAATGCTAAAAGGAAACAAGAAGCAGAGGTAGTGAAATGAGCAATAACATATTTTGCTAAAAACATTTCTAGTCCATTATATTTTTGTTTCATAGTTTAATAATTATGATTGTGTGGTTCACTTTGTAATATCTTTTTTCTCATTCTTTTGTGTTTGTTAGTGCATAATACTCATATAGTTCATGTATATTTAATTATAATCGAAATGAATACTTTTCCAAAATTATTATATCTCTTTACAAGTCTTAAAACAAATGGGTTATATGCAGACTAAATGGTCATTGTCAAGGTGTCCTGCCGTGGCTCAGGAACATGAGCAAACCTCAAGTCAGACTGCTTAGAACCAGTGCATAAATCTCTCTAGCCTTGGTTTCTGTAGTTAGATTTCAACTATTAATTCTCAAGCATAAATGTCTATAGCAGGCATTACAACAGCCTAAATATGGAGTCATAGACAGCAGTCTTCCCTGTAAATGTTTCCATATGCAAAATAAATTTTATGTGCACTGCAGCATGTGCGGTTATGCACCACCAGTAGAAATACATGCTGCCGGCTCTGGGTGGCTGTGGGCACTTTGCCAATCAGATGAATTAATCTCTCCTGGGCTGCTGCCCAAGTGCATAGTTTACAAAGAACAATAACAGTACCCTTGGGTACTCTAGTCTTCCTCATCACATAGGCAAGCCTCCTTGTGATAGATAGTCCCTTATACATGAATCACAACAGCAGTCAAGTTACTTCCAGTCCCTAAAGACCAGTCACTTCCTGCAGGTTGGTTGCATCGTAGATCTTGCACCGAAGACCTCACATGTACCCAGTCCTATAATAAATTGCATACAACTTCCTTAATAGGAAAAGGAAATAATAATTATTTATAAGGTTAAAACAGTTAAACATACATACACAAATGAGGTACAATCCTAAGTTTCATGAGATAATACAGAGCATGATTATTGGAGAAGCTTCTATGACCTATAAACCTAACTCAGGCTAAGCAGCTGGAGATCCCTTGTTTATATCTAGAAACCCTGCCTCCAGAATCCAAGCATCACTGAGTTATAGTTCCTCCTTGTTAGGGGTTTTTAATTCCCTCCTCCGCATTTCTGCTTTTAGTTTCCAAAACTCTACTTCCTGGGGAGTGGGGGAGAGCAAACAACAAAATCTTTTGTCCCCATTAATATCTCACTCCAGATTTTGTGATGTTGATGGACCTTCCTTGTTAGGCAGGACAACCCCTTTTGTTGGAGACCAGCATTTCTACAGGTTGGACCTCTATAATCTGGACTCTCCTTATCCCTCAACATCTGTGGTTCAGCATCCCCAATGGGTGCTCCTATGCGGGAGCGCTCAGGGAAAGTCTAGGTCCTGCACTACTTAATTCCTCCCCCACCCTCCCAGAGTTTTTGGAGCATAGCAAATAGCTCACTTGTGGCATTCAAGTTCAGGAAGGAGCAGGGATGGAGAGGGGATGCTCAGGGGAAGAGGCAGGCTGGCTGCTGTGGGGGCCAGGAGTGGAGCCTGCAGATGCCAGGCTTGGTGCGCTTCCACACTCGTGCGTTCTTGGCCCCAAATGTGGTGGGCCTCAGCCACCCTACTTTTTCCCCCAAGAGTCCTCCTAAGTCCCCCTCAGTCAATGCCAGCCCCTCTTCTGCCACCAGAGAGGAGCCCTACAGCCAGTGGCATCAGAGGGATCAGCATTGACCTCCTCTGGTCTGGCAAATTCCCTGGTTCAAGACCAAACATGCCCAAGGGTGCCAAACCATGGAGGTTCAACCTGTTGCTAAGGTCTTTCTTCTGTTTGGTGATTTACACAGTTACAAAGGCTTGCAGTGTAGCTCCTTAAATATTATCTTACCATATGAGATGTACATGTTACAAGTGAGATTAATGCTTACAGCAACTCACAAGCATTCAATAACATTTACACACTAAACACACTGTTGGAATTCTAATGCCAAACTGATTTCAGCTATGTATTTGTCAGTGTTCAGTGGAAGCTTAGGGATGATCAACAAGTTTAGGCTTAAAATTAGATGAATGTTTCTAATCATCAGATGAGTAAAGTTCTACAATAGCTTTCCAAGGGGAGCAGTAGAGGCCCTCTCACCCCCCAAAAGAAAAAAGGCTGCAAGATTGAGCTTTATAAATTTATGGAGGGGTTGGAGTGATGTGACTGCCTACAGTGGCATGTAGCCAATCACTGACTACTTCACTACTAGTAGAAAATGTCTCCAGTAGCCAATGATGGAGTAGTAGATGGGGAGATTTACTACAGAGAATTCTTTGAAGGTGTCTGGCTAGTAGGACCTACTAAAATGCTCAGTTCCAACTGACTACCATATTTTGGTGTTGGGAAGGAATTTTCCCTTGAATCGGATTAGCAGAGACTCTTAAGGGATTTCATCTTCTTCTGTAGCATGGGATATGGGTCACTTGAAGGTTTAAACCAGTGTAAAAGGTAAATTCTCTGAAACTTGAAATCTTTAAACCATGGTTTGAGGACTTCAGTAGCTCAGCCAGAGGTCAGGGTGTGTTACAAGTCGGTGGGTGAGGTTCTGTGGCCAATGATGTGCAGGAGGGCAAACCAGATGACCGTGATGATACTTTTTGAACTAGAAGTCTGTTAATCTGTCCACCAACATCAGTCAGCCCTTACCAAAGAAAATATCTAATAACTATTATAATCGTAAAACTTTCCTTTCCACTTCTCTTTGTATCTTGCCACCATTATTACATTTTGTCTTTTAACCACACATTCTGCCCTACCTACTATGCCCTTTATCTCCCCTAATTTTCCTGTACATTATTTGTCCAATTTTAAATTCAAGCCTCAAATGTCATTTCCTTGTTCCAAATAATGTAGGATTTTAAAGTATTTTTTTCTTAGGCCACAAAACTTAATGGCATCCATCTCTGGTACATTAATCAACATCAAGGACTTGTTTATTCCAAACTCTTCCCTGATTTCATTGGTCATACATTTTTCAGTTTAGAGATCACAATATCCACATTTGCAGCTATCTGAATTACTTGATACATTATTAGATTGTAAAATGTAACAAGTTTGGTAACTAATATCTAAATTCCACGTTAGCATGTTTTAAAATGGCATTTATTGTACAGATGAATTATTTTGTTACCTGTTTTCAGTTGGGGAAGGCATATACTGGGTTTTCATCTACTTTCAGTTTGTTTGTTTCTACATATTTATTGACATATGTTTGTTTTAGGGTGCTGTAATCAAGACAGAAGAACTGCAGAAGCAGTTGGAACAATCAAGCATTGACCACTTGAAAGATATTGAAGGATTTAAGAATGAAATAATAAAAGCACAGACCAAATACAATGAAGACTTAACACAACTGCAGAAAGAACTACAGGAAGAAGTGAAGAAACAAATGGGACTTGCAGAACAGCTTGAACTTCATAGTAGTCAACAAGAGGAAACTAAAAGACTCCAAGAAGAGGTCCAGCAAATGAAACATGTGTATGAGGAACAGATGTTATGCCTGAATAAACAATTGGAAGTTATCAGTCAAGATAAAAACAAAGAAATTGAAAATCTGCAAGAAATTATCAAAAATAATTCTCAACATTACTGTAGTGTAATCAATAATTTGCATGAAGAGCTTATACAACTAAAGGGTACACAGCAGGAAGGGGTGTCAGAATTAATGCATCAACTGGAAAACTCTTCAAAAGAATCTGAAGAGGAGAGAAATCAGATAAATCAGCAACAGCCAGACATAACAGAGCAGCACTTGATAAAAGAAAATATGAAGGGTGAACTATATGCTAGTAATGAGAAATATGAACATGAACTGGAACAGCTAAGAGAATCTGTAAATGAAAATAAAGAAAACCAGACAGATGGTACATATGTACAAGGTGAAACTTACATAGACCAAAAAATGGAAGAAAAGGTCAAACACTTGGAACATATTTTAAAAGAACTGGAATCTCAACATAGTATATTAAAAGATGAATTAACCTATATGAATAATGTTAAATTAAAACTGGAAGAGGAAATCCAGCATGCAAAGGAAGAGTATTTTCATGAGCGGGAAGACTTGGAATTTAAAATTAATGAACTGCAACTTGCTAAAGAAGATCATGGTTGTATAATTGAAAAACTAAAATCAGAACTCCAAGCAGCTAGGCACCAATATGAAATCACCATAAAAAAGCATAACCTAGAAGTTCAAAATCTGAGAGAACAACAAGAGAGACAGATTTCTGAACAACATCAGACTTTATTGTCAAGTTCAGAAAAAGAAAATATGGCGTTGGTTTATGAAATGGAGGATCTGAAGGAACAGTGTCAAAGGCTGATACAGGAGAAGGAAGAAGCAGTGTTCAATTATGAGAGTGTGAGGGAAACGCTGGAAACTCTACAAACTGAATTGGGGGAATCCGCTGGGAAGATAAGTCAGGAGTTTGAATCGATGAAGCAACAGCAAGCTTCTGATGTCAGTGAGCTGCAGCAGAAACTCAGAGCTGCTTTCAATGAAAAGGATGTTCTTCTTGAAACGATGAATCGTCTTCAGGAAGAAGCAGAAAAATTATCATCTAAGCAAGCTGAGATAGAAGAACTTAAGCATGAAATAGTCACCTTTCAGGAGAAGAATGAAGCAATGGAGATCTCTCTCTATCAAAAAGAGGCCATGGTAAAAGAACTGGAAGAAAAAGTGACTAGTTTTGCATCTCAAAAAGACGGTCTCCTAAATGAATTGAAATGCTCTGCTGAAGAGGTAGAAAATCTCCAAGAAATGTGTAAAAAAGAACAAGAAAAGGTTCTGGAACTTCTGCAACAAGCAGAATTTGTTAACCAGAGCAACAGTGAACTGAAAAAAAATGTAGAGGATTTAACAGAGACACTAAAAGAAACTTTAAAAGAGAAGGATGAGAATAACGAAAAGTTAGTGCAATTAGAGGAACAAATGAAAGCTCTCTTGCTTGATAGAAATAATCTGTTATCTCAAGCAAATACTCTTCATAAAGAAAATGAGAAAATCAGTAAAGAAAAAGACAAAATAAGTAGTGATCTGGAAAAGGTTATCTCTGAAAAGGAAGACTGTCTAATGTTTAAAGAGCAAGCTCAAAGTTTAAAAAATAAATTACAAAGTGCTGTTGAGGAAAAAGACCAGTTGGCTATGTTTCTTGAAAACAAACAAGCACATGCATTACTTGTCAAAACCCAGCTGTACCATTTGCTTGAGCAAATAGGGTCCAGACTTTCAGATGATGAGAAGGAACATGATGCTATTAATTTACTGCAGGTTGCAAATGAATCCTTGGCAAAAATGAAAGAAGAAAAACAGAGCCTTACTTTGCAGAATGATGAACACATTCTTAATTTACAACAGAAGGTCGAGAGACTTCAGGAAGAAAATTTAGTTCAATGTGCAGAGCTCAGATCTTTGTTGGACAACCTTGAAAAAGAAAAGAGTCTCTTAACAGAAAAAATAGAAGTAGCTTTGTCAGAAAAAAAAACATTGACATTAGAGATCCAAGAGATGAAGAGTGCCAATGAAAAAGTAAGGAATGAAACCCAAACGCATGAGCAACAGAGTGGATCTTCTACAGAAGAGCAAGAAAACCTAAAACTAAGTCTAGAACAGAGAGAGACTGAACTTAGAACTGTGAAAGCTGAATTGACTTCTCTAAAGGTTGATTTTTGTTATTTCAGTATACAGACTAAATTTCCAAGATTTAATGAAAGTTTAAAAAGGATTTTCACATTATTTCACGATTCATTTCAGAAAAGTTATTTCTCCATTCCTTCGCCCCTCCCCCCATTAATTGATTTGTTTTGTTTCTCTAATAAGTATTTCTAATTGAGAGTTTGTCTTCACCAAAAAGACAACACTAAGGGTGTGTCTAGACTACAGGGTTTTGTCGACAAAAGTGGACTTTTGTCGACAAAACTATACCTGCGTCTACACTGCCGCTGAGTTCTGTCGACATAACGTCGACAGAACTCAGCAGTTTTGTCGACGACTGTAAACCTCATTCTACGAGGAATAATGCCTTCTGTCGACAAAAGGTGTTATTGCATCTACACTGTCCTTTGTGTCTACACTGTCATGTCGACAAAGCAGCTTGTTTTGTCAACAGAACTGGATGTAGTCTAGACACTCTTTGTCAACAGAAGCTTAGTCGACAGTATCTGTCAACAAAACTTCTGTCGACAAAAGCCTGTAGTCTAGACATGCCCTAAAAGTTAACTTGATAATTAAAAGTTTAGTTATGTAAAATGTCTTCTCCCTTTCCTACCAGTACCCCATGAATTACTCTTCATTTAATGTATAGATGACCTAATTTCTTCCATCTCTTAACATTTATATATCTACAAGTTAAATAAGCAAAACTTAGTTGGTGTTAGATCAGTTATCTGCCCTGTTCTGCTTATGCTAAGTTTGCTCGATCTTCCTCACATGAGAGCATTGTTAGTGCCTGATAATGTTTGAGAAATAGTAGTTGGCCAGAACTTCATGGTCTGTCCTTTCTTGTTCTTAATAGGGCAGGATGGAAAGCAATTGCTATGAGGGTGAATTCCCTGCCCTTACTTTTAAGCATCTTTGTAAATTAACAAGATATATAAAATTGTGCATAAATCATGTTTCTCGTTCATATAGAAATAGCCCAGATTCTGGCCTTAAGTTTAATATATATTAATCAGTTTCTGATTGTGACATGTAAGGAAATAGCAGATACAAAAAGGTTTGTAATATTCCTTTATCTTTGTTTTATATCACAGAATTTCATGGAGAAGTCTTCAGTTCAAAATGACCAACAATCTTCAGTAGCAGAACTACAAGAAAAAATTGGTGCTTTTCTTATTTTATTTTATTTATTTATTTTTTACATTTAATTCGTTGTGACTTTTAATTCATTATTTCATTTTTAACCCTACACAATGGGAAATACAGTACAAATAAGCAAATGACTTCCTGGTGTCCTGTAAGGGTTCAAAATATGCCAATAGTCTGTTACCCTAACAGATAAATAGTTTTTATTTTAAGGTAGACATCAGTGCACAGCTGGAGCTGTACAATTGATACCAATTAATGACGACTGCCATGTGGAGGGGAAGATCGAATAATCTTTAATATTTTCAATTGGTAACTGTTGAGCAATATACCTTTATAGCAATATAACTGTTGGCCACTGAGCAATATAGCTTTCTTTGAGAGAGAACAGTAAGCCTTCTGAACTAAGAAAATTAGCACTAGATGTAGGCAAAACCATTGAATTTTACCAAGATGATTGGTAATATAGTAAGACAATAGATTCCTCATGGAATATTTTAATCTGATGTGTTTTCTCAGAAATGGTTTTTGTCTGTCAGCTGTTCTTGATAGTTCAGTGTCTTTTTCATTTAAAAAACAAGATGACAGTACAGATTAGTGGCCAGCATCATAATACTAATAAACCTAGTCACTTTTGCATTTAAAAAAAAGCATTAAAAATAGTATGGTTGCTGGTTTTGTGAAATAGAAAATATTTTTCTGCACCATAACCCTGGGTTTGATTGCTCTCCCAATTTTGGTCCCTACACAACCAATGCAGTTCAATAAGTACTTACTTGTTACAGAGAGGATCTCATGCACTTCTCCTTGTATAGGAAAATGATAGCAAGGTGTTTTGGGGGTTTATTTTTGTGTGTTTTTATTTGTTTTTATTTAAAGGGACAATAGTTTATGGATGGGACAACTCCCCAGAGCTCCTCGGGAAAGAGAGGAAATAAAACCTCCCACCTCTCTGACAAGAACCTCCCACCACCACTTGCATTCTTACAACATATAACTGACCAATGCTTTTTTTGAGTTTCAAAATCCTAAAGAAAACCAAAAACAAACCAAAGTTTGCTAATGGTACTCTCTGGAACAATGGAAAGTGTTCACTATTATAGTTTTGTGTGTTGCTGGGAATCTTAGCTCTCAAACCAGGTCTTCAAAAGCTTAAATGTTTTAAATGTCTTCCTGTTTTGTTTTGTTTTTTTTCAGTAGCAATGGGTGCATATACGTTTTTATTTTGCTAATGTTTTCAAATTCATGTCAATATTAGTTTGTATTTGACTTCATTCCATGGTGTAAATGAATTAGTTTCTGTTTTTTGTGTTAGTATGTCTGGAAAAGGAATCTGCAGAGAGAGAAGAGAAGTTAAATAAAGTTAAAGTCATTGCTGTGAAAGCAAGGAAAGAATTAGATTCCAGTAGAAAAGAGGTAACTTATTTAGACCTCATATTGAAGAGCTTTCTGGCACTGAACGGTTCTGTTGTAATCAAACTGTTACATATTGCTTTTGTAATAAGGTGCAGTCTTTGCGAGAAGAATTAGAGTTGGTACGGTCAGAGAGAGATCATCTGTCGTCTTCTGTGAGGGACATCATCCATGGAGCAGAAAGCTATAAGGTAAGAGGTACTATATTTTCAAAAATGCTTCATTTATCAGAAACTATTATTTAGACATGGCATTTTCCAGCCTGATGCTAGTTTGATGTGTCCATGACTTGCTACTTGCATAAGTCACCCTACCTAATTTCCCTCTGTAGCTACAGTGCTCTTTGCTTCCTATCCTAAACTATTGTACATTGTTGCTGTTCATTGTTCAACAATTGCCATATCTAACCTGGATGAAGTAATCCTTGAATTTATACATAGCATCTACTAGCAAATATTATAGTTGTTTTATTAAATTTGTTATTCACATGAACTGTGTATGTTGGGGCACTAGAACAATTAAAATGATAGTTGTGTTCATAATTTCAATTGCAAGAGTTTTGTGTAATAATACCTGTCTTTATGGGCTCAGCTTTAGAATCATTCATCCTTTCATGTGGAAATAGTCCATGCTGGCCAAAACTGACTTTAAAAAATTGCGTAACTTATTTGTGTTATAAGCAATTCACCTTTGCACGTATATTTGGTTTAAAAATAGATTAATAAATCTAACCATACTTTTAAAATATTGGCCTAAGCCTCAGTGCAGTTGTGAGGTTGTAAGATTACATACTCAGAAATAGATTTTTGTTAATATGCTCATTGCTTTAGTGCCACTGACTCATTCTATTTGGTTGGCATGACCAGAGTGGTCAAGCAGGGAAACAAGTGATACTGAGGAATACTGTCCTTAAAATACAAACAGTGTTCTCAAAATTACCTGTAGCGTCTGAGGTAAGAGAGAACTATATATACCACATTTTAGATTTTCAGTGAACTTCTGCCATTCCTCAGTTCTTTTAATTTTAAATAAATTATTTTTCTGGTGGAAAAATATAAATCAATAGAAAAGGCTGCTGCCTTGTGAAGCCAGAGTTGTGTAAAAACTGTTTCCCACAAATCAGTACCAATATCAAAGTTGGGGATTTCCTCCTCCTCCCCCCATTACTTTAATTCAAGTGTGAATTTCAAAGTTTAATTTGAATGTTGGTATTAAGTTTAGACAAAGAACAATATAAGAATCTAAATGAAAAATAACACTTGTTAATGCAGATAAATTGTCAATTTAAGAAGTATAAAAAGATAAGGTTCCAAAAGCAAAATAATTCAGCCCCCATTGCCAAAAAGTCCTTTACTAATATGCCTTCTTTTTTTTAAGGGCTGGAAATAATGTAATCTTAAAAATCAAAATGTATTTTGTAACATATGAAGCATATTCTATATGTAAATCAGGCCCCCTCACTTCATCAAAGTACAGAAAATCTGTGAAATGAATGATTTAAACCTAGAGAGGAAAACTTGAAAGAGTTTTCACTTGAACCTAGAATGGAATTACAACTTTAATTCACCTGTGGTACTTCTGATGTCATAATAAGAAACATCAAGTACTGAACAATAATAAGAATGTCCAAACACCCATGTTATAAGCACATCACAGCTTCCATGTATTTAACAAAAATTAAAGTGCTTTATGTATGTTTCAAGAATCTTTTGCTGGAATATGACAAGCAAGCTGAACAGCTGGATTTGGAAAAAGACCGATCAAGTAATCTTGAACACCAGATGGATGACCTTACAAGACAACTACAGACTTCAATGCAGCAGGTAGCTTATGCTGTGACTGAGCAAATATTTTGTATGACAGATATGAAGTAACTGATTTTAAGTCCCAATTCAATGTGATAGACCCACATTTACCTAAATTATCCCTGTAAATATTTTTGTGATTCCATCTGAATTTTTGAATATGTGCCAAGCAAATAAACTAATATTTGTATTAGTAAGTAGATATCCTAATGTTTAGAGTGTTTGTTTGGATTTGGAAAAAAAATAAATGAGACTAGCGACATTATAGAAATATATAGATTTCTCTCAGAACTGCAAGCATCTAGGGGCCTGTTTGGCATTACTGGTCAGGGCCCAAATCTGAAGAAATTTGAGCCCTTTTGTCAACAACTGTAGTAATGTGAGTTTGAGCAGGCTCTCAGAGAAGAGCAAATGCACAATGCTGTCAGCAGTCATACAGATTTAAGTCCTTTTATCTAATGGGTAGTGGAGTCCGGTAGCGCCGCTCCTCCGCACTGCGGGACCAACCCGGCAGCCTCCCAGCTGCTCTGCCCTAGGCGTCCTGATTCAGCCGCTGATGAAACTGACCAGCGGCTGACTCTGGAAGCCGGGAGCAGAGCGTGCTGTGCCCCAGGCTTCCCGGAGTCAGCTGCTGGTCAGTTTCAGCACTGGCTGACTTGGGGAAGTCAGGGGCAGAGCAGCTGGGGTGCTGCCGGGTTGGTCCCGCAGTGCCGAGGGGCGCATCCCCTCCTCGTGGAATGAGGTTTAACAGCTGATTTGAGTTAGGAGTTTACTTCAAACGCCCATTTCACTGCTGCGTGTAGACACGGGCAGTTATTCCAGGTTAGTCAGTTTTCAAAATAGCGACCGCCCAGGAACATGCTAATGAAGCATCGGATATTTAAATCCCGGGCTTCATTTGCAATTTTGGTTGCCCTGAGCCGGACTATCGGAAGGGGGGGCTATGAGGGGTCTGCACCCCTCTCCCCCGCACCCCACCCCAGACCCCTCATAGCCTGCCCTTCTGATAGTCCGGCATATTTGATAATCCGGCACCCCCTGGGTCCTAAAGGTGCCGGATTATTGGAAGTTTACTATACTGAGGAGAGAGGCAAAACGTGTCCCGTCAACACCCAAAATATCTGAAAACTGAGTGGGTCATTTGATGGCCTAAATCCAATCGTTGATTGGTTGAAATACTCTTATGAGAATTTAAAATCTTCTTTTTTGCCCCCAATCTCACTCTTGAATACATTATACTGCTTATCTATCAGGTGAATTTTTTCAAATTGATATGAAATGTTTCATGAACTAAATGTGACTAATAATTTAGCTATTTGATAATTTTGTATTTCGTGCCTTCATCCTTAATTCTAGATTTATACAACAAGGGAGGGACAGTGAGACCATTGGTGAAAATGTTGGTGGTTCAAAATAGGGATATTAAAAAGCGTTTAAATAGTTAACTGGTTCAGCGTCTAAAATTTTAGCGTGTAACTGGTTAAATGCTTGTTCTGCCTCAGCCACCCCAACATGGCTGGGATAGGGGTATGGAATGGAGCCATCTGCCTGCCTCATGTGGCCAGTGGTGCCCTGGGCTGCCGAAGCTGGGACTGGGACACCACGGGTGCACCCCCAGGGGGCTGAGATGACAATGCCTGCCCCCTGCCACTGTCAGCAGGAGCTGCTTCTGGGGCACTCGAGTCCATTGCAGGCAGGGGCTGCACTAGAACAGCCCTGTTTGTGGTAGGCCCCTGTACGGCTGGAGCAACTCTCTGTTCATGGCAGGGAGGGAGCTGCTCCAGCCCCACCAGTTGACCTTAACTGGTAAGCATTACCTGTTTAGGGTGATATTACTGGTTAAACCTTCACATCCTTAGTTCAAAACAAGCCCTGTCAATGTCTAGACTTGAATTGCAGATCAGGACAGACTGTGTACCTGTGCCTTAGCTTTATGCCACTTAAAACAGACACATTGGCAACATTTTGGGGAAATGAAATAACAACTTTGGTGTTGGGGTTGATGCCATTAACATCTGCTCAGGACCAAGGCAGCTGTATTTGAGCCAAGGGAAGCAGCTGTGCATACCACTCTGGCTGGCATGCTGTTCCTAAAGATTTCAGAGGGGTAGCTGAGTTCCTATTTCTGTTCCTAAAGAGCTAGTAAATAGTTTTCCAAGCTTACCCACTGGTCTCCCCCTGGCTTCTAAGAAAACTACAACAGGGATGTACAGTAAAACTCCAATTGTCCGGCATCCCCCAGGTGTCCCCAAGTCAGCTGCTGCTGAAACTTATCAGCGGCTGACTCCAGAAAGCCAGAGGCAGAGCTGCTCTGCCCCAGGCTTCCTGGAGTCAGCCCTGGTCAGTTTCAGCAGCGGCTGAATCAGGACGCCTGGGACAGAGCAGCTGGGGCGCTGCTGGGTTGGTCTGGTAGCGCCAAACCTCGGCGCTGCGGGGACCAACCCAGCTGCTCTGTCCCAGGTGTACCCAAGTCAGCTGCTGCTGAAACTGACCAGCGTCTGACTTGGGGAAGCTGGGGGCAGAGAAGCTGGGGTGCTGCCAGGTTGGTCCCACAGTGCCACCCTCTCCCAGGCTGTGCAGTTCCCTGCCAAATCCCCACCACCCCACCCCTCATAGCCCCCCTTCCGGTACTCCGGCATATCTGATAATCCGGCACCCCCTGGGTCCTAAAGGTGCTGGATTATCAGAAGTTTACTGTATTATAGTTTCAAAATTATGTTGTAGGAATCCACATTTTTAAATCAGACTATTTCTGATTCTGGCTTTAAACATTCATATGGATATTGGTCTGTCCTGTCATGTTTATGCATCTACAGAAATAATTTACAAAGGATCAGGGCCCAAATCTGAAGAAAGTTGAAATTTAAGCCTATTTGTCAGCAACTGTGGTATGTGAGCTCTTAGAAAAGAGCAGCTGCAAAATGCTTACAACAATTAAAAAAACACACAGTTGACATCTCCTCCTGCAAGAGTTTGAAGAATATTAACACCCACTTTCATCTTGTTACTAACATTCTAGCAAGACCAACTGTCCTCTGCCAATGAAGACCTTGTGGCTCGTATTGAAACTCTCCAGTCTAATACTAAACTGCTAGAAGCCCAGATATTAGAAATGCAAAAAGCCAAATCAAAAGTTGACAAAGAACTGGAAGCTGAAACACTTCTAAAAGAGCAAAAGATAAAGGTAAAAGCAATGTTGTGGGACCATAAAAAATGAAGCATAGGCTGTTCTCTGAATGAATTGAAGGAATGGCTTCTTAAAAAATGGTGGGATCTTTAATATTTTAACTAGCTTGGTTTTGCTCCCTTTATTGATTAGATGCAGCATCGCATTCTGTTGCCTAGCTGAGCCTTTTAATCTTGAGAGGTTTGTCACCATCAGTAGTAATAGTAGGATGCAGCCTTATATGGATGTTACATTCATTTTATAATTCATCTGGGCTTTAATTTGGAAGATAGACTTTTTTCAAAAACGGTGTTAACCTTTCTAACCTGAATTTTGTGACATGTATCATGAACAAACATTCTTGAACTCAAGTTATGTAACTGAAAAGCATTTAAACTAATTTTCAGGATCACAGCAGTGCTGTAAGAGAGCTTGAAGAGCTTCAGCTGCAACATCAGAAAGAAAAGAAACAACTTCAGAAAACAATGCAAGAGCTAGAGCTGGCCAGGCGGGTAGGGTAACTGTTTCTATATACAGTATGCTCAGAGGACCCAAGTGTGATTGCAACCCCCCTGTGATTTCTGCTGTACACATGATAGAACACCCCCACTCCAAGAGCTGAAATTCCAAGTAAGAGATAAGGAAACTTATCCCATTTTATAGATGGGGAACTGAGGCATAGAGAAACTGCTGCTAGCCCAGGGCACATAAAAAAAGGCTGAATGGAAGTAGAAATTGAATCCAGATCTTCTGAGTTCCATTCCTGTGCCTTAATCACAAGGCTACACTTGTTTTTCCAGAACCAGATTCCTTTAGAGTGCTTATCCGGACATGCTAGACAGGTCTATAATATTTTAAATTGTTTCCTTATTTTGATTCAAACAAATTAAATTTAGAATACAGATGGGTAAGTTTTCTTCTGTTGCGTATATGGCCATAGACGAGTGGTTCTCAAACTTTTTGATCTGTGGCTCAGCCTTCTTAGCACACATCTTTTCGGGAACCACCAACCAACCACCCATGATGACAAAATGAGTGCAGCAGCAAGAGGGAAGTGGGTCTGGCTGGAAGGTAGAGTGCAGGAGCAGGGGTGGGGGTCTGGTCAGGAGGTTGGGCGCAGGAGTGGGCTGAGGTGGAAATCTGGCTGGGATGTAGGGCACAGAAGTAGGGTAAGGAAGGGAGTCTGGGTGGGAGGTATGGTATAGGAGTGGACTGAGGGTGGGGGTTTAGGTGGGAGAGAGGGTACATAAGTGGGATGGAGGTTCAGGGGGCACACAAAGGGGAATGGAGGCACTTACTTGGCTCTGTGCCTCATGCCACTCCCAGGGACAACCCTCCGTTGTCCCCATTGGCCATGATTCTGGCCAATGGGAGCAGCAGGGAAAACCTCCAGGCCAATGGTTTCCTGCACTGCGGTTCCCCCAGGCAAGGGGGAGGGGAAGCGACACAGCATGGAGCTGCTTCTCCTTCCACCGCAAGCAAGATCCAGCCCACAAGGCTCACCTTGTCCCCCTCCCGTCCTGCAGTGGGAAGCCAGCATGGACACTCCCACCTCACAGCGGTTGGAGGTTGGAGCGCCAGCATGGGTTCCCCACTGAAGGGGACCAAACCCACGGCCTACCTGCAAGATTGTCATGGACCACACAAGGGATGCTCAACTTGGATGAATCCGCTAATGGAGTACTCAATGGAATTTCCATCGACTACTTGATTAGTTGATAAGGGGGGCGCTTGCTAATCCACTGCCTCTCTCCCTCAGAAATGTGCAGGAGCCGCTCACGGCTCTTGTATATTTCAAAGGGAGAACACTGCGCCAGCAGGGGCTCTTGTACATTTCAAGGGGAGAGGGAGGAGCAGCAGTCAGACCAGCGTGAGCAGGACTGTTTCATTCCCTGCTCACGCTGTTTCCCCGCTGTACCCTGCCTCTCCTGCCCCTGCAGAGACTGGCTCATGCTCCCCGCCCACCCCTTACTCCCTCTCTCTGATAGAGGCAGCAAGTGGAGGAATTGACTAGTCTAGTTCCTACTCAGCTACCCAATAAGCATTTGCTTATTGGATAGTCAGTTAGTCGCTTACATCCCTATACTACACTTTGAGGACCACTGCTCTAGACCAACAAATTGGAGTTGAGGAACAGTTTTGCCATAAAGAATAATCAAAACAAAAATCCTTCAAATCAGCCCAAGCAATTTTAAACTGGGACTACGAAATATGTAATCTACAGGATGCACAGAAGAGCACACTAATGGATATGGAAATGGCGGATTATGAGCGTTTAGTGAAAGAACTTAATCAGAAGATTACAGATAAAAATTGCAAAATGGAAGATCTTGAACAAGAGATCAAGATTCAAAAACAAAAACAAGAAACACTACAAGAAGAAATAAGTGAGTAAGACATTAACTTTTTAAATTTCTCATCTATAATAGGGCTTCTTATATCCAACATGGTGGGGAGACAGACATTGGCTGTGTCTAGACTGGCCAGTTTTTCCGGAAAATCAGCCGCTTTTCTGGAAAAACTTGCCAGCTGTCTACACTAGCCGCTTGAATTTCCGCAAAAGCACTGACTTCCTACTGTAAGAAATCAGTGCTTCTTGCGGAAATACTATGCTGCTTCCGTTCGGGCAAAAGTCCCTTTTGCGCAAAAGGACCAGTGTAGACAGCTCAGATTTGTTTTCCGCAAAAAAGCCCCGATCGCGAAAATGGCGATCGGGGCTTTTTTGCTCAAAAGCACGTCTAGATTGGCCACGGACGCTTTTCCGCAAAAAGTGCTTTTGCGGAAAAGCGTCTGTGCCAATCTAGACGCACTTTTCCGAAAATGCTTTTAATGGAAAACTTTTCCGTTAAAAGCATTTCCGGAAAATCATGCCAGTCTAGACGTAGCCATTAAGTGCGTGTATACCTTAACATTCTTGTCTTAGCAGACAAGAAGAGCTGCCAAGAAAATAGTTTCTTATATGTTAAATGAATTACTGTAGTTCATTTGTTTACTATGCACTAAACTAATAGTCAGATATTTTACTGGACAAACTACATTTCTCACGTCAGTGTTAATCCCAGAGCTGGAGAGCTGATGATGCTTCCGAATCTTTTTACGAGCTAAGTGACTGAAAACCCCTGGTGGGGTTATCACCATCTACTTAAAACATTTACGAAAACACTGGTGTATTTAAACATTGTATTTGCTTAAAGATGTTTGTATTTAAAAAAAAAAAAAAAAAAAAAAAAGCATGATATCTGGAAACTAGAAGTTGAACCTCTTGATGATCTGCTTGTTCCCAACATTAATTTTTAGGAAATTCTGACTTAGAATATTTTTATGAATAACACTTTCAATTACAAAACAATGAGGAGTCCTGTGGCATCTTAAAGACTAACAGATTTATTTGGGCATAAGTTTCCATGTGTCATAGTTTGTTTACTACTAACAGATTTATTTGGGCATAAGTTTCCATGTGTCAAAACCACTTGCATCTGACAAAGTGGTTTTGATGCATAAATAGGGATATAAAAGGATAACCAGTTATCCAGTAAGCACGTGCCTTACCAGTATGCTTCCTGGTATAACTGGTTAACCTGAAGGGTCAGCTTCAGCCTGGCTCAGCCAAATGTGCCAGGCCCACTGTACCTTGTCACAGGTGGAGGGACGCTCCAGACCAAATGGAGTAGCCCACTAAATCAAGTTCTGGGCAGGAGGCCCAGCCCACCTGGAGCAGCCCTACATCCTGCTATGGGTGAGAAGCTGCTCCAACCTGGCTAGGCCCACCATGCTGTGGGCAAGGGACCACTCCAGCAGGGCTGGAGCAGTGCCCACCCTCATCATGGGATCACAGTTAACCTGTTAAACATTACATTTAACCAGTTAACTTTTTTTACTGAGATTTTACATCCATACCTGTAAAAGCTTATGCCCAAATAAATCTGTAAGTCTTTAAGGTGCCACAGGACTCCTCATTTTTATAGATACAGACTAACACTACCCCTTTGAGAACTTTTATAAAACCATGCTATACAATAATTTTTCCTTTTCTCATAAAAAATTATTTCTGCATTAGCTTCTCTTCAATCTTCTGTGCAACAGTATGAGGAAAGAAACTCCCAGATAAAACAACTGCTAGTGAAAACCAAAAAAGAACTGGCAGATTCAAGGCAAGCTGTAAGTGCTTAATTTATTGCATAAACTTTTTTTGACCAAATGCTTGTAATTTAGTTGCAGATCTAAAATTTAAATATATTAAGTATTGTAAATTAACCAAGGTGTCTTATCCTACAGGCAAATGACCATCTAATACTCCAGGCATCATTAAAAGGAGAGTTAGAGGCAAATCAGCAGCAAGTGGAAGTCTATAAGGCAAGAAACTTCACACTTTGTTGTTAGCACAACCTTTCTTCTACCAGAAAGAATGCTACGGGGTAGTATAGGCTATTGCACTAAGGGGGTAGCTAAATCACTGCTCCAAGGGAAAACAGTTGGAGCCTTCAGAAGGCCAGTAACGTATTTGAAACTGTATTTGTGTTGGTGTTTTTATTGGATACTGTACTCTGGAAGACTGTTGATTTGGCCACAGGGCTAAACCTCTTCCAGTCTCTCATCACGTGGAGAAAAATTGCTAACTGGAGAGGAAACAATCATACCAGTGTCTCCTCTAGAAAGAGAAAAGTCTTACAGTGATTTTTATGAGGTACATCATAGTAGTTCACCTCCCTTAGAGTGTGGACACAGTCAGGACTAAGGATGTAAAATTCCATTTAAGCAGTTGAACTTAAATGGGGGCAGGTGAGGGACTGCTCCAAGAGTGTCTCCCCACCTGCAGTGCAGCGCAGGGGCCGATGTAAATGTATAGTCGACTATCGGACAAGCAAATGCTTATTAGATAGTTGCTTCCCTCCCCCTTGCTGCCAAGGCAGGGAGTAGAGGAGGGTACTTAAGTGGCAGCGCTGAACAGAGCCCAGGGTCAGATGTTCTGTGCGGTGCTGCCGCTTTGAATGCTGCGAGGAGCCTGGTGTCAGGCTCCTCGCGGCATTTCAAAGCGCCATTGCCATGTGGAGTCCAGGATCAGCTGGGGACTCCCTTGTCTGGGCTGGAGTATGCCATCCCCTCCCGACAGACAAGGCAGCACAGCAGGCTGCTCTGGCCCAGCCAGGCCACTGATTACTTGGTTAATAATTGACATCCCTAGTCAGGTGTGGGTTCAGTAGTGTAGCTTCTCTCTGATAATCATAGGCCCATCAACTCTTCTTTGCTTCCTGACTTGTGTGTAACCAAGGGTGTAGCAATAATTTCCTAGGTTTTTTTTTTTTAAATAAACAAAAACTACATTTTGTGACACTTAAGGTTGTTCCAGGACACTTTCTATCTGTTCAGAACCTTAAAAATGTGTAAGAAAGAAGTTTTTTCTACAATCCTTACCACTTTCATAATGCTTACAACATTATCAGTGACATGCTCATAAGATTTTCAGTTCAGCTCCAACAGATGTTGAAAAGCAATATGTACCCCAAATTTATCACTCTGTTCCTACCTGTGCTCCAGCATTTTAAATTTACAAAGCTCTTCACAGACCCTAGTTAATTCTTAAAATGGCTATTTGAGGCAGAAATGTATAAATATTATTATCCCCACTTCACAAGGGATGAGGGAAGACTGAGGCAGGAAGATGAAGTAACTTGACCAAGGCTGTGCAGCAAATCTGTACTAGAGGCAGGGTTCAAACTCAGGATCACCTGTCTTCTAGCCCTTTGATGAAGCCTGATGAGCTCTTAAATCTACAGATCAGTTCATCCGTCACACTAAGTCGGACGGGCTGATTTGTTACCATCACCTGAGGTCTACAGATCAGTTCATCCGTCACACTAAGTCGGACGTGCTGATTTGTTACCATCACCTGAGGCACATCTGACTCTCACAGTCCATTCATTTGAGAATTAAATCTGCATTCACATTGCTGAAATCATGGTATGGGTTTGTGTGATCGCATGAGTGGTAAAATTAGGGTAATTAGTACAATGTCTATATAAATTTTTTCCATAAAGATAAAAACTGAATCTGACTATATTTCTGCATATTTTCTCTGATGTTTCTGGTGCAAAGCACTGTAAAGTTTAAGTACTGCTGCTTATGTTTCAGAATTGATGCATATCAGTTCAGATATTCAGTTGGTTTGCTGCTGTCTCCTTTTTATATTTCATCTTTCAAAAGAGAATTATTAAATCTGAGTCCTATGACAAGGAAATACTTTTAATCTACATTTTAGTCCTAACTAATTAAACTTTTTTGGGATTTTTTGAAAGTATTTTAAATAAACACATTGCCATTCAATTTTAAGTATAATTCAAATGATATGTGTTGCATGTGATACTGCTCAGATAGCTTCCAACATCACGTTAATATTTTTTAAATTTTAAAAATAGAATTGTACCTAGTCATTTCTACGTTTTCCATCACCAGACTATCTGGAGCTTTGTTTCATACTCTGTTCACCTAATGAAGAGTCAATTCTTTAGACTAAATTCTAGTTTTGTTGAAGTACGTTCTCATTTTCAGATTCAGCTAGCTGAACTAACATCAGAAAAACACAAGATTCAAGAACACCTGCGGACCTCTTTAGAGCAACACCAGCGCACTTTGAGTGCTTACCAACACAAGATTTCAACCTTACAAGAAGAATGCAATACAGCAAAGGTACTATTTTATAAAATAAGTAATAGCTCTTTAGACCATTAGAAGAGGTAGATACTTAATTTGCAGTTTTGCTTCACTAAAGATGAATCCTGCAGGATTCTCACTCCTGGATCTTTGCTCCTTGACAGAGAACTGGAAGGAATTCTCATAACTTTTAATGTTTTTTTGAATTTTTCAGTAATAACAGAGTGGAGGACAAATTAGGCCTTGTGCTGCTTCTTTTGCACCATCCTCAGTGGAATATAAATGCCGCCAGTTAGTTTCTTTAGCTGTACCAGATTTGAGGCCCTGTTGTGGTAATTGGGCTGACAAATGTACTGTATAGTGAGCTCAGTTGTAAAAAAAAATGTAAAAGTTTACAATCTGATATAACAACAAAAGTTTGATACCAGTTGGGTGAGATAATACTGAGCCAACTTTTATTGATGGAAAAGGTAAGTTTTTGAACTACACAGTCTTGCAGCTGGAAAGCGTGTCAGATGTCTTTCAGTATAAAAGACCCAGATATAGAGACTCAATTAGTCCAAACAAAAACAGGCCATACTGGTGTAACTCAAAGACTAACGTGAAATCATGCAAGGTAAAAACAAAAAAATGCAGAACCAGAAATTTAATGAACCAAAAATGTTGTCAAATATTAGCCTTAATTGGTGGGCAAAATAATGAGAGGATGAGGTATGCCACCGATTGTTTCTTTTATAGTACTTAAAGAAAAAAATGTAGGAGGAAAATAGGAAAGGACAGACGAGCTTCATAATCATAGCTTTCACTATCCTCAACTTCTGAATTCTGAATGATGTCCTGAGCAGACCAGAGAGTGGGATCCTGATGAGATCGCCAGCCTTACTAGTTCAAGCTGAATCTAAATTCCACTAGAGATAAAACAGGATCAGACTTCAGCAGCAACGACAGCATCAGTCCATCTCGGCTAACTTCATTTTGCCCCAACAGGACATTTATTACCATCAGAGAGGTGGTCAATCAAGAGGATTTTTTTCATTCTAAAATACTCTCCAGCTAAAGGGAAAAAGGAAGGGGGGAAAAAAACCTGTTAAAATGCATTCAAAGCTTTAACTGTTTCCTTTTCTGAAAACTTATTTAAACCCTTTAACAAAGTTAAATAGTGTATTTGCCATAGCATAAGTAGGTGGAGGTCTCTGTATACAAACTCCAGACCACGTGACTGAGATATGTTAAAACCTTTGACCTGTTTATTTAATTTAAATTAATAGTAAGGGGCACTCCTGCTCGCTGTACTCGCCAAACCCATCTCTGGAAGTAGGCAGGCCTGGCATCTCGGCCCCCTCTGGCTGATGGAAAAGGGCCAGGGTGGCGCAGGTCACATTTTGAGCTAATGGGGTTAGCAGCAGAGAGGAGACAGGGTGGGCTGAGGGGGTAGGGGCTGCAGGACACAGAGTGACGTGATGATGTCACTTTATCATCCCACAGGAAAAGATTTTGGGGGATTGTATGGGTTTTTTTTTTTTTTTTTTTTTTTGATACAGAGATAAAACATCTCCCAGAAAAAGAAATCACTTCAAGATGATCAACATACATGTTCCTTAGAGGAAAAAGAAAATAACTTCACAAACCAGAAACTCCACACTCTCTTGGGAGGAGGGGGGAATAGGTAAGGGAGTGTCCTAAAAACAACATCGTCTGAAAAGCAGAGTTCAAAATTAGTAATTTTCTCTCTTTTGAAGATACTATGTTTGTGTAGGATTCTCACATTCCAAATGAACATAAGTACAGGTGCAATATACAGCAGTAGCAAAGGTAATGCCAACTATGTGAAGTCAGAGGCTTTTGTTTATATATAGTGTAAACAGAGGTGTAACAACATTCAAGTCCAGCAAAAGAAAGAGCAATTAGAGAGAATTCAATGCTGAAAATAGAGGACATCTTAACATAAAATTCTTCTTAGGGAAAGTTCTGGAGCACACAGCATCTTCTGGAAACTGCAAGGAATAATACTTAGTAAATGTCTGGAGAGAGAACTAAGTAGTGGCTTTGCACTTCTCTGTTGTGGACACATCCATCTAATTGGCCCCGACATGGCTTCCAGATAATGACAATGTGAAATGCCATTGGACATCTATTTGGACTTAGTTCTTTTTGAAACAGCATTGCTCAGCAAATTTGTTTTCTAAATAAAATAAAATTGAGTGGAGTTAGTCTCTCAAATACACTCCGAAGGATTTCTAATACTGGACGTTAACTTTGGAGGAGAACCTCAAGGGAGTCCCTGTAAAGATGAATCTTATATAAGGTATACTAGCACAAAGAAAATGACTGTCAGTGAAGAAAAGTTCACAGAAATGAGGGTTTTTTGAAAGGGACTTTCATGGGGACTGCATTTGCATTTCTTAATTTGAGATTTCAGAGGAGGTAAGTCCTGTGTGAAATTGACAAGGGATTGCAGACATGCATTTCTGGCTCAGACTGGTTCATAACCCAAAAAACATGTTCCTGGAAGGAGTTAATCTTTACAATAGACTGAGACAGGTGAAGAAAAAACAGTCAAGCAATTTTTATAGAGCAAGTAAAGGAGTCTATCTGGGCCTTTATTGTACCACAACTGCAAACCTTTCCTACTGGAGACAGTAGTGCCTACTTAGTAGATGTCTTCTAAATCAGTTGCTTGAATGCCCAATGCATACAAATCTCTAATCTGTCAAATGCCAAGCTGCAAATGGAATAGTTTTTTGAAGCCAGACTTCTAGGAACGTGTCTGATTTGCCTCAAGGAAAGTTTGGAGGCAATCAACTCACCAACTTTGTTCGCTATCCAGGGCAACCTTTTGAAAATTCATTGGACATTTCTACATATCATGGCTGATACCGTGATGGACAATGAAAAGCATCCATCATGGGTGGTGTTCTGCCACATTGACATGAAAGAAGCTGTTGTGTGCCCAGCCCTCTTCCTAGGATGCTACATCTGCAAAAGAAAAGGAGTCCGGACACATAAGATGAGCACATGACCAATGCAAAGGTGAGCATCAAGATAGTTGCCAACCCACAACTAAGAAATTAGGAGCAGAAACGGCAGAGCAAGTGAAGATGCATTGAATACAACAAAGGCTGGTTATCAAATATTTTGGGGGTAGAGTACTTTCACATGCCTGAATGGAAGGAAAAGTAAAGGACTTGTTTAAAAAAATCATATTGACAAGTATGACTGGAGCCAGAAGAGCTATAGTAACAGCTGTGGAAGCTCCTTCGCCAATCACAGTTAACATGACTGGAACATTTGGAGAGATATTTATATTTACATTTATACATGCAATAGAGGGCATGGCTTGTGTTGCCCTCAAGGTTTAAAAAAACAAATTCACAAGCTATGGGAATTCGACCAACCTCTTACTGCGATTGAAGAGTGAAAATCCTGCATGTATGGTATTTTTAGAGCTGGGGAAAACAAAACATTGCTTGTCAAGTCAATGTGATTAGTACACACTCTTCTTCCTGTAAGAGTTGTGGTTAAATATGAAGCTACCTGGTTTTCTTTTTAAATGGCAGGAAATTTTCATCAAACTTAAATTTGTGTGTTAAGTGAATTTAACATAAACATAATGAAAAGACAGAAAATAAAGTGTGTATATATTCTTTTATAGAAACAAGCTGTGGAATTTTTCCATCACTTTGGTTTCTTGAATAAAATACCAGAATGACTCAGAATCAGGTCTGAATGCTACCGTAACAGTTGTTTGATTATGACAGCGTTGGGGACCACTGGCCTATGCTGTTTCCATATCCATCATTTTTTGGAATTACTGTTTTTAATATTTCAGAACTTTGTAATTTGTTTTGGCTCTATTTGAACATTACATAAAAACTGTATAGAATTGTGTATTTGTAAACTGTCTGAAAGACAAATGTGGTTAACACTGTCCTCCTTTTTCTTAATTTTTTTTATCTACCAGTCATAGAATATTTTAAATTAACTTGCTGTGTTTTTTTTATCTACCAGTCATAGAATATTGCATTTTAAATGAACTTGCTGCCTTAATTAATATATTAACCATTTAATCTTGTATTCAAAAAAACAAAAAAGGAAATGCAGTTGGAATATTCATAGTTCTTGATATTTAAACAGTGTAATATGCATACAGATCACAAAGTAAAAGTGCAACTGTGCTTTTATATAACTGGTTTATATAATTGAGGGTTTACTTCTTTTGCATTATAGATAGAAAAAACTACTGTCACTTCTGAATTTGAAAGCTACAAAGTCCGCGTTCATAATGTTTTAAAACAACAAAAGAATAAATCTGCTTCTCAGGCTGAAACAGAGGGAGCCAAGCAAGAAAGGTAAAAATTGTGTCTCAAGTGCTTGCTAGTAAAAGCTAGTGAACCCAAAAGATAATTGAGATTTTTTTTTTTTTTACTATTTTTTATACATATTTAAATAAAGGGACAGAGGGACGAGAAATCCACTTCAGTAGTCTTGACTGACAATAATAATCTGTCAAATATTCATCTATGTGATGATTCTTGTTTCAAATTTTGAGAACTGTCTATTTTTTGGCATTTAAATATTTTTGATTGAGGATTATAGAAGTACCCAGAGACAGCACATTAAAAGGATGCCATCAACTTATAAATCACATTTCAGCTTAAAATTTTTCACTTATTCATGTTACTATAGCGGAAAGATTTTAAAAATCCCAATTTAGCATTTAAGGCACTTTCTGCATTTGACATTACACTGAAAAATAGAATTTTTTTCACTGTTTCCCTGAGGTCTCCTACATGCTACAGTAATCCAGTTTCTCCTTTTTTGTGGGGTCTTCCCCATTGAAAAAATACTAGCGGGTGAGAGAATAGTATTGTGATTTTCAAACCCCCAAAAATTGGCAGGAAAACTCAAGTACAGGTCTAATATCTGAATCTAATTTTCCACTCATTTGAAATCACTCGAGTTCCAAGTCGACCATACCCCTTTTTCTGTAAATAGTGCTGCAACCTCTAGTTTGCATATAATGCCTGTTGGCAAAACACTTTGAGTTTGATACATTTACATTTTGTTTTTATATAGCTATCTTAAGGTATTAAGGTATACATCTTAAGGTATTTTCATGATTTACTTTGATACATTTACATTTTGTTTTTATATAGCTATATAACACATCTTAAGGTATTTTCATGATTTAAAGGAAAACAGATAAGTAATGTATTATACTAAATTAATTTGTTTCCAATCTCTTATTCCACCTAACCAAAACGCAAAACACTTTTTTTCATCTGTACAGATTGTTGGGTTTTTTCCTTGTCCCAGAGGTGGGAGGGACCCTTAAAGTTCAGTATGAAGCTGAAACTAACATGTCTGCCTTTTGGTCAACAGTTTGAGTGTAAGCCTGATCTGTGACATGAAAATGAACTGTTGAAAAATGGTTTTCAGCTACAATTTTGCTTATAAAAAAGCTGCTGTTCTCACTAGCACAGCTGAACCATTGTTAGCATCAACAAAAGATCTAGCATAGGCAAAGCTCCAGGAACTGGGCCCATCCAGTTCTTACTATCATATAATTTAGACTTGCATTCAGCAGTATGGCCATTCTTATGTTCTAACATGGTGATTTTGCATTCAGCAGTATGGCCATTCTTATGTTCTAATGTGGTGATTTAAAAAAAAAACTGCTTATACAAAGGTTTTACTGGTTGTTACCCTTTTTGTAAACTTTCCCTGACACAGATGTGAAAAGGTGAAGTGAACTGAACTAGTCCAAAAAATGTAAGTGCAAGTATGGGCCGGACAAATTCAGTGCAGTTTCAGAAAGCCTTCGACTTAATTCTGCATGGAATCTACGCTAATATTTTTATCAGTTTTAGGGTGACCACTCCTGATAGTCATTGTCCAAAAAAAATTGTCAGTGCCCTAAGATAATCAGGATCATTATGTATTAACTGATTTTTGACAGAGGTCTGGAAATACTGCTGCAGATCCAGCAGAGTCCTATGATTTGTTAGAGAGATCCCTGTTAGAAACTATAAAACAGCATCTAAAGAGTTATCTATTATAGTAAAAACAGATATTGAGAATTCAGAGGACTTTATCAGATTCTATAGTTAGTCAGGACATGAGTTTCTTTGAAATGAATTAGTTGCAAGGGAGTGTCATTTATTTATCTTCCTTTTTTGCCAGCAGAGGAATTCTGATGGGAAGCAGTGTTGTGTTACTACTGGACATGGTCTGTTGGGAAATGTCAGGCATTTATAAGTGGGACAGTTTGATCAACAATTGAAAAATTTGGGATAAAATTTCAAAGGAAGCTAAACTTATTTCTACAACTCTTAACCATACAAATAGTTCATTTTAGAAGTCAGTAGTATTATTCACGTCACTCAGGACTAAGAACTTGAATAAGTTTGCAGTTCCTTCAAGTTATATTTTTCTCAAAATTGGCCTTTTTCCTCTAGATCCTCTTGCCTGAATCAGTTTATTTGAATATAACACAGTGACTTGTTTTTCTGGTGTTAATTTTTGCAGATTGACATCTTCCCTTCCCTCTCAACCCACTTTTTTTTCCACTACACTCTCCTTGTTTATACCCCTGCAAGGCTGGTGCAAAACAAATACAAAAAACACCCAAGAGACCATTCTTTTTTAAACCTGAAAGCTACTCGTCCATTTTCCTTTCCACCCAGATCTTCTTTAGCTTTGTCTTCCATAATTTGTCTAAAGATGAAAGGATTATTAAACTCTCTCTTAGCTCCCTATCCCCAATTAGGCAACAGGATGAGAAGTTCCAGGAAAAATGAGGCACAAGCAGGTGACGTGTTCTTAGGACAATCCCAAAGTCAGGTATTTTGTTGCCATTTCAGCTAGTACTGAATCATTCAAACCATTTGTATAATGAAAAGAGATTTCAGATTTAGCAGAATAGTTGACCCAATATAATTATGATACATATTGGCTGTGTCTACACTGGCATGAATTTCCGGAAATGCTTAAAACAGAATAGTTTTCGTTATAAATATTTCCGGAAAAAGAGCGTTTACATTGGCAGGCTGCTTTTCTGGAAAAGCCCTTTTTCCAGAAAAGCATCTGTGGCCATGTAGACGCGCTTTTCCGGAAAAGAGCCCCGATCATCATTTTCGTGATCGGGGCTTTTTTCCGGAAAAGACTACTGGGCTGTCTACACTGGCCCTTTTCCGGAACAGTGTTCCGGAATAAGGACTTATGCCCGAGCAGGAGCAGCATAGCTTTTCCGGAATAGCGGCTGATTTTGTACAGTAGAGCATCATTGCTTTTCCGGAAATTCAAGGGCCAGTGTAGACAGCTCGCAGCTTATTCCAGAAAAGCGGCTGATTTTCCGGAATAAGTGCCCCAGTGTAGACACAGCCTTAGCGGTTCTGAAATGGGATAACTCTCTTTAAAGACTTTTTAAAGCACTTAACATTTTTTAAAGTGCTATCATACTATTTGTTGTTTAAGTTTATTCTATACAGACTAACTCGGCTACCCCTCTGAAGCTTTTAAAATACGTATTATTTTTTACTTAGAGAACACATGGAAATGGTGATCGACCAATTGAAAGTGAAGTTGCAAGACACCCAACATAATTTACAAATCAGTGTTACTGAACTCCAAGCCTTGCAGTCGGAACATGACACCCTGCTGGAAAGGCACAATAAGATGTTACAGGAGACTGTGGCAAAAGAGGCAGAACTCCGAGAAAAGTATGATTCTCTGAGTAGATATGTTGTATTATGTGTGCAGTTGGTATCAACCCTTTTTTTGAATTGTTCTGTCCTCATAGAAATGGTATAAATGTGTTCAGAAAGATCAGGAATTCAAATGTCCTCATGATTTTTTCTCTTTAACCATATACTTTAAAGATTACATTTTTGCAGCTCATTGAGTGCTTCTCGCTACTTGTAAGTACCATGTACAGAACTGCCATTGTATTGAAAGATTTAATCTAGTGAAGTAATCGGATGCAAATGTCCACTTCCGAGTAGGAAAATGAGTTCAGACCTCTACATAAATTGTTGTACAGACAGACTGGTGGGAATCCCATTGTTGAAATTTAAAGTCCAAATAATACCCTTTTGGAAAGGTAACATTTTTTAATTCTCTTATCCACAATCCCCACTACATTATTTATATTAGGGAGCTTCTGTGACTTAATTTTTCAGACAGTGATATCGGTGTCTTAATTTTTTTCTACTTCCAGGTACTTCAACAAACTCCATTTCTCCTCTTCTCTTCCTTCTTCCCTGTGTAATACTGAACTTTTATTTTCTTGTCACAGCGGGCAGGATTTCCTCATTATTGCTACTTCTGTGCTACTTCTGTGTTGGCATTTGGTATGGGTAGAGATACTTCCAGTTTCTGTTGGTCATGGAAACAGAGACCAGATATGATAAATGAACTGGATCTTTTGCTTAGCAATGAAGTACCAAGCATAATTTTTTCCTCAGCTTGGCATAATTATTGGGGGGGAGGGGAAATCCATAATTGGGAATCATCTGTTAGGTAAATATTCTCCATGTTTGTGCAAATTTCCTATTTCTAAACATTTCAGTTTTCGTAGAATACAGTATTATTAGATTTTCTTTTTAACTGTATTTGTCAATCTAAACTATAAGAATTTAGCATGAAGACTAAATAACTATTAGATTGAGACAGACTGTTAAAAGCAGTTGTTGGTTCAAACAGATATGTTTCTAGATTAATTTGGCACAATTTTTTTTACTGCTGAATAATGAATCATAGTAAGTTTAGGTAAAAGGTATAACAAATGCTAAAACAACCTTTAAAAGGTCACTGGACACGTTATGGTTGGTCAAAAATTGTAGCAGTTAGTAGTCCACAACCTTTTACCTATCCTACGATTGGTAAATATAAAAAGGCATTCAGACTTTATTTTTGTACCATCGATAGTAACAATGCTTCTTGCAAGTATTACACAAATATTAATTAGCTAATATTCACACATTGCTATGAGACAGTTAAACAAGAATTATGTCCATTTTACAGATAGGTGATTTGCCCAATACCACAATGAATGAGTGGCTAAGATAGAATTAGAACTAACAAGTTCTTAGTCTTCTGCTCAGCTTCTTAGCTCACAGTGCCTCTAATCATCCTACATCTCATAATGATAGAAGCTAGAATCATTTGTTTAAAATGTTTAGATCTTTATTTTGCACCATAAATTTTCAAGGCACTGAATAAGTGTAAGCTAATACCCTATCCCATGGTTGGCAATCTAAGGCTTAACCATTTAAAAATAATGTGACCATATTTTTATTTTCTTATTTCACTTAAATTCCTAAGATATGAATGAGATTCCTGAGTTGAATACTATTTTAAATTTTAAAAACATTTGGAAGATCTCATTAGTATTGTTTTTGTGTGCACAGGATCTGTACAATACAGTCTGAGAACATGGTGTTGAAATCTGAGCATGCACAGATTGTGAGTCAGCTGACAACCCAGAATGAATCTCTTCGGAACAGTTTCCGAGATCAAGTGAGGCATTTGCAAGAAGAGCATAGGAAGACTGTAGAGACATTGCAACAGCAGCTCTCCAAGGTAGAAGCCCAATTCTTTCAACTTAAGAGTGAACCTACCACAAGAGGTAAGTTTGACTAATCATGCAGCCAAAAAAAATCCCTTTTGTTGATTATTTATATTTATTCAACTGTCAGATGGTCAGCCACAGAAAAGTGATGAATCATACAAATATCTCCAAAAACATATAGTGTACACATTTACCATGTAAAATCGTAAGCACAGATATTGTTCTCAACTGTTGATATAGTACTTATGTCAGTTATCTCACTTTATTGCCTCTGTGACATCTGGAATTCTGTCTCCTTACTGATGGAAGAGGAATTATTAGTAAGTATTATTATTCTGCCTGTCCCTTTGTCTCAGGTTTTGGAGAGTCCATTGGACAGCTCCTTCCAAGATAAAAGTAAAACTAGTGATTGGGTGCACAGAAAAAATGCTACAACTTCTCGTCGCAGCAGACAGATGTGTAGTTTAGATCTTGGATTAGCAAAAGAGACTATGATAATGTGTGGTAAACTGTAATACATTCTTAAATGTTGTCCCAAGCAGTTATAAAACACTTTTTTAGCTATAAAGAGAGCAGTAATATATGTGTCTGTTAGAGATGAGAGTTGTCTTGCTGGTTTTTATTTAAAAATTTACTAAGAAGCAAGAGTTATTGTATGGCTCAGAGTACTGGTAGGAAATAGAACCTTTGAACTCAGGTCACAGGTTGAAACCTAACTGAAGTCGGTAATCCCAAAATGCTATTTCGCTACTCAGTGACATGTGTAGTGTGAATTGGTTGTCTCAGCTCATTTCCTAATGGGTCAGGCTGTATTATCAAGATTACCATCGGAATTGGCAGTCTCAGAAAATAAGTTGAAGACTGATTCTGGAGGCTAAGATACTGTTATTTTTAGAAGGGTCACCCCAGCTCAGGATCTAGGTATGTTGTGTGAGGGGAGGAGAGAGCTTTGTGTTTATGCTGCTTCTCCTTGTACTTTATTTCTTCTGTGGACGTGTCTCTCTTTGTCAACATGCAACTTTCAAAATCACTAACCTCCATTAAGGTTTGGCTTCTAAATTGAAACACACTCTACAACATTATTTTAAAAAGTCCCTCATCACTATTACTGGACCATACACTAATTATAGTTAAATGAACAAGTGTGATGTGAAATGGTTACCCTTCCAAAAGAGCAAAAAAAACCTCTTGTTTTACCTTTTGAAAGATACAAGCTAAGCATCAGCCTTTCATGTATTTTAGCATGTGTACTGAAAAAAATATATGATCAAGAATGTTTTCAGCTGTGATTTGGGTGGGTGAGTGGGTACAGATCAGAAACCGGAATGAGACAAGCCATTTGATTAATTGGTGCAATGTCTTAGAGCAGAGGTGGGCAATAATTTTTTACAGGGGGCCACTCCAAGATTTTGGAAGTGGCCGAGGGCTGCTCTCTTCCATGATATTAATGGAGGAGATGCGGGGCCTGGGATGGCGGTTGGGTGCAGAGGGGAACTTGGGGTAAGAGACAAGGATGCAGGAGGAAGACTGGAGTTTGAGTGAAGCAGTCAGTTGTGACCTAGGGCAGGGGACTGGAGTGCAGGGATTTGGGATGTGATGTAGAGTAGGAGGGAATTGTGATCTGGGGCAGGAGATTGGGGTGCCAGATCTGGGAGGGAGCATGAGTGTTAAAGGGGGATAGAGGGTTTGGGTATGTTGAATGGGAAGGGCAGAGGGTTGGGGCTGGGGCTCCAGAGGCGGGCTGTGGCCAGACTTACCAACCAGCAGCCAAACCTGCCTGCCTGCAGAGCTAAGACTTTCAGAGCTTAAAACGTTTCCCAGCCAGCCAGCCTGATTGCTTTGCCATGTGCTTCAGTGAATAACTGAGAGGAGGAGAGGGGGGTGTGGTTCTTCTTGGCTGCCTGTTAGTCCAACAAGCAGCTCCCATTGGCAAGTTTCTGGCCAGAAACCAGCCAGTGGGATTGTGCTGGGGGCGGGGTGGTTCCTGAAACTTTCCCCCTCCCCTCCAGTTTTAAAATAGAAATGCAGCTGCTGGGGTTTGTTTCTGTAGGGCATGCAGGACTGCGGGGCAAGCAGGGATTCCTGCCTGGGGCTCCCCGCAGCCTCTGCAGGCCTGATCCGGTGGCTTGGCAGGCCACATGTGACCTGCAGGCCGTATTTTGCCCAAGCCTATCCTAGAGGATGCTGCCAGTTTTTCACTCCTCTGTTGTCCCTTTCACTGCTCCCACCATTCAAATTTAAAATAGTTACACCAATGACTTGTTTCACATAGTCAATTTAAAGGATCCCTGTTAATCTGGATTCTACGTATAGTGGTATCTTCAAAGTGAAAGACACTCTGTGTTTCATTGTGAAATATTCTGTATTCATTCTTTAATGAATGTGAACTTCTCACATGATACTTTATTTACTTGTGTACATCTCCTTAATTTCAAGCACTAAAAGATGTATTCACCCCTCTCTTTTGTTCTCTTGTTCTCCTTCACATTCGGTTCAGTGGCTTTTGGGTGATCATCCCCACTGCACAGCCATCTTGTTGATTAAAGTATGCCATCAAGAAAAACATTCTTTTTCAGGTCCATCTGTTTCAAACGTGCCAGTGAAGAACTTGCGAGAACGGAGAAACACTGACCTTCCTCTTCTTGATATGCCCGCTGTAGCAAGGGAAGAGGGAGAAGGAATGGAAACCACTGACACAGAGTCTGTGTCTTCTGCCAGTACCTACATGCCATCATTGGAACAACTTCTTAGTTCTCCTGAAGCAAAATTTGGTAAGTATGAATATTTTTTTGTTTTTGTTTTTTTTTCCAATAAGTGTTTAAACCAAAATTTGGTAAGTATGAATATTTTTTTGTTTTTGGTTTTTTTTTCCAATAATAAGTGTTTAAAAACTTGAGCTATAGAATCGGTATTACTTGGTACTCTTCTGGGTGCCAGAGAAAGTTGTCCTTAGAACTGCATTTGTGGCCACCCGCAGATATTTGTATGGCCAAACATGAGCAGAGGTTGGGAGGCACAAAGCAGCAGACTTTCCATGCACTGCTCAGATGTTGCTCCTGAATAGTTACCAGGGGTAGCAAGAAGTGCCGCCTTGGCGTTTACAATAGTGCCGCCAGCAGTGATCATCGCCCTGCCCCACGCTGCCTCCTCAGAGGCACTGGCAAGACCTCTGGAGACACATGGGCCTAGTGTGTATGGCGCCTGAGGCAGCTCTTGTCAACAGAGGTGTCTGTGGAGTTCGATTGCAGGGGCACTCCACTGAACAATTTCTCTGCTTCCACCCATACAGGGCATAGTGAGTCTGGGACTCTGAGTGGCCAGTGAGTTCCCAACCCACATTTCCCTGGGTGGACTCTAGCTGTAGGTCCGCAAGAGGCAGAGACAGAGTGATTGGCTTTGTCAGCAACACTGGACTTACAATGGAGCCAAAGATGTGATTGTCCCAGGCCTACGCACAGTAGAGGGCACACCTGTCTGGCTGGCTCTCTTCCGCCTTCTTGTGTAGCCTACTAGCTGCAGCGCAGGCTTTCCTCTCCCAGCTCTCTGGCCCCTCCCCTGTGCTCCTGGCTGATTGACTCAAGGCTTCTTAACACCCTCCCCCCCCCCCCCCCCCCCCCCCCCCCACCCACCCAAC